ATTCCCCAAATTACCTGCATTAGAAGATCCGGATGGAAGATGCACTTCTCTGACTTGCAGGACGCAGACTTGTTCTCGGGAAGCGGCAATCGGTGGCAGTACACCCCCTGGGAGTCAGAGAGTTGCAGCTTCCACTGGTGGCTTATCGCACAGTTACTCTGCGTTGTGGTAGATTGAATGGTATCTATGGTCATAAACAAAAAAAAATAATCTGTATTTCTATATTGAATTAAAGTTCTACCCCGCTCCACCTAGAAGGTTTGTAAACTGAAGATGTCCATAGGATGGACTTCCTCAATGCACTGACACCATTTCACTCAGCCCTGCACTTCCTGGTGTCACCACTCTCACAGAGTCTGCCTTCTGAACTACAACTCAACCTCTGAACAATGCAACATCATCATCATCGCTTGCTGGAAGCAATGCATGATGGTATATGTAGTCTTGAACAATGAACATTATCTTTGCTTGCTGGAAGCATTGCATGCTGGTATATGTAGTCTTGAACAATGAACATTATCTTTGCTTGCTGGAAGCAATGCATGATGGTATATGTAGTCTTGAACAATGTAACATTATCTTTGCTTGCTGGAAGCAATGCATGATGGTATATGTAGTCTTGAACAATGTAACCTTATCATTGCTTGCAGGAAGCAATGCATGCTGGGATGTGTAGTCTTGAACAATGTAACATTATCATTGCTTGCAGGAAGCAATGCATGCTGGGATGTGTAGTCTTGAGAAATGGAGATTGCATCACATCAAGCAGCAAAGAAAGACGCAAAGCACACTGGGGATCCAGGAAGTGATGGACAGACTGAAGGCAGCAATCGCTACATGAGGAATATTTCTAGTAAGCTTTGATTGTATTATCAGAGACATCTCCAGTATGTATTCCTATTACAGTGCTGATGTTATTGTAAATAGCGCGTGTCGGTTGTCAGGGGACATAAAATATGGCTCTGTGTTGGTGTTCAGGGGAAGGAAAATATACCACTACATTCTGACTGTCTAGGCCAAGGGTAGGCAAGCTCAGCACTAAAAATCCCATTATGCCTCAGCAGGAGTGTTGATGTTTGCCTACCCCTGGTCTAGACTATTGGGGAACAGAACAGGTAACTGCAGTGGCATCCTTATAATGAGGCAGCCTGAGGCTGTTGCCTCAGGTGGCATCTCTTTTCGGTCAGCTGGGTGGAGAGATGTTTAAAGGAGAACTATGGGGTCAGTGTTTTTCCCCATAGTTCTCCTTAGGGTAACGGGAGGACACAAACTAGCGTCCTCCCGTTACCCTAAGCTCAGTATACCGCGAGCCACAGCTCCCTATATACTGAGACCCGGCAGCCGGAGCGGATCCTGACCTGGACGTCGGGATCCGCCCAGCTGCGTGAGTGACAGCTGGCTCTGCCTATCTAGAGGCAGAGCCAGCTGTACCCGCCCCCTCCCCCGTCCGTTCTGCCAGTCAGCGCTGGGGCAGATCGGAGCGGGAAGAGGGGAATCCAGCCCCCCGTCACAGCAGAGAGCCGTGACAGGATCGAGAGGTGAGCGAACACTGGCATGTGTTCGCTCACCTCCCGATCTACTGAGCCGACCTGTGACAGTCTCATTGTCACAGGTCGGCTAGAACTATGAGGTGAGTGGAAATCACTCATCTCATAGTTCTCCTTTAAGGGTCAATCTTGGAGAGGAACTGCTGCACTTCTTACCGGAACCCCTATGTATAAAGGAGGGTGCTGTAGTAACCACGGATGGCCCCGTGCATCTTCAAATATATGATAAATGTCACCAGCACACCTATGTCTTGTGTCAATAATCCATATTCTTTATTGATGCAGACTGTCACAAAACAACGTTTCGGGGCCGGGCAGGGTCCCCTTCATCGAGTTTTAGTCTTACCCTGCGTGGCCCCGAAACGTTGTTTTGTGACAGTCTGCATCAATAAAGAATATGGATTATTGACACAAGACATAAGTGTACTGGTGACATGTATCATATGTTTAAGGGTCATACACACTTCCCTCCAAGTCCTTGGCAACCTGGGGCACTCTGGCCGGCGTCCCGCTCAGCTCCTGGCAACCAGAGACGTCAGTGTTCTGGGTGGTGCGCCACCAGGATGCTGGCCAAAGCACCTTTAAGCGTACACCACCAGCACCCCTTCCACCTTGCCATCCAAACCCCCTGGAACGTGACCCCCCAGCACCCTCCACCCAAGCCTCAGGCGGCCAATATGATAGGGACAACCCTGGATAACTCGACCAGTGTACTGGTAAATCTAAATGTTTGAATGCACTGGGAAAGCACCCAGCAGTGCCTACGACTCACGGGACATCAAAAGACTCAGGTTAGGGATCTGAACACCTACGACGTACAAATTCAAGACGACAACATGAACACTGGTCACATAGTTTAAAAGGAGAACTATGGGGTTAAGGCTTTTCCCCATAGTTCTCCTGAGGGTAATGGGAGGACACAAACTAGCGTCCTCCCGTCACCCTAAGCTCAGTATACCTTGAGCTGTAGTTTGCGGTATACTGAGACGCCGCAGCTGAAGCGGATCCCGACAATTGTGCCGGGATCCGCCCAGCTGTGTGACTGACAGCTGGCTCTGCCTATCTAGAGGCAGAGCCAGCTGTACCCGCCCCCTCCCCCGTCCGTTCCGCCAGTCAGCGCTGGCGGATCGGAGCGGGGAGGGGGAATCCAGCCCCTCCCCTATCACGGCAGAGAGCTGTGACAGGATCGAGAGGTGAGCGAACGACGGTGTGTGTTCGCTCACCTCCCGATCTACTGAGCCGACCTCTGACAGTCTTATTGTCACAGGTGGGCTAGAACTATGAGGTGAGTGAAAAGCACCCCCCTCATAGTTCTCCTTTAAGCGATTTTGAACTGATCCCAATGTTATGCATCACAGACAGCACCAACACAGCAGGGCAGAGATGTAGTGAAGTCATATAAGAATACTATTCATGAACCTTCTGTCTCCATCAGACCCGAGTTCCCATCCTCGGACAAGAATGCACGTTCACTGTTATGGTTGTATCCGTCCTCGCCCCCCCCCAATGACATGGTTGTGTCCGTCCTCGCCCCCCCCCAATGACAACACGTTTCTAAAGGATGAGAGCCATCACGCCTAGAGAGATTGGATCCCGCTCTGCAGAATATTGTTTTGTGCTACAGACAATGAATGCTTTGCGTGTGAAGAGAGAGTAACACCGCGAATCGCACATCATTCACCGCACCCACCCACCCAGCATCCAGAGGCTTTATCATGGGGGAACGGGCTCTCTGCTGAAGTCCTGTCTGGATGATGGATTCATGCGGCGCCTATGTTCACACCTACTCTGCGTGCTGTGACATTTCAATGAATCTACAGGCTGCGTTCACCTCCATGTTTAGGAAAAAACGGATAGAGGACGCCAAGTTGGTGATGGGATTCATAGTTTACGGGTGGAAGATAACATTGTTTGGTTTTCCAGTCAGCTGACAGAAAGTGACAGGGACACGACATTTCTAGCAGGATGAAGGGTGAAGCATCCCACGTGTTCTACCACATGCAGGTCTAGACCATCAAGTGAGGTGGATATTTATATAGGATACCTGGAGAGGTCAAAGCAAACTTTTTAGGGGCTGATTGGAGTGGCATCGGTGAGCTAAGGCACCAGAGGATTTCCATTATACGTCAGGGAGGATGTGACTGGTGAGTTTTAAACTAAC